ATTTAATCATGACACATTTTATGTATTGTTAATAGACTGCTACGATTTTTATTTATTTTATTTTTTTGTCTACAGTAAATAATTTCAGGGTTCTTCGTATTTTTGTCTCTCTCAGCTATGACTGAGAGTGTCTTTAGCTATAAATTAGACTAAAGTGACACAGGAGGAAACACAATTTCCTTCATAATCTTTTCTTTACTTTGGCATGATTTTTAAAATGATATAAATGTTGTGATTACGTGGTTTAAATACATATTAATTTGGGTTTTTAAAAAACGTTGAGCAGAGCAGGTCTTCTGGACGGGTTCTTTGATAAAACGGTCTGGAGGAGAGATGAAACGTTTCACTGGAGATCCCRTTCAGAGGAGCTGCTCAACCTTTCTTTTTATCCTCCCTCCTGGATTACTGAGATGCATCCGGCCATATTAACATATTAACTTGGATCTTACCRTAATCTTGTTCTGCTTGACAACACAAGCTCTGGGAGTGAGCTGTGACCTGCAGCTGGGACGTKGTTCTGGCAGGACTGGTCTCACCTGTCGCTCCAAGTGCTGGTCGGTCCGGCACATGATTGCGCAACCCTCCCTCCCTGCCCTCGCCGTCGGCAGCAGCACACGTTAAGACTTTTTAAAAGTGGAGACAAAATGAAGAGTCCAACTCAAAATGTTCAGAGCACAGAACAGACGCGAYGGTAGGCTCTCACTTCTCGGGAGACGAGTCCGACCTGCTTCAACACACACTTCAGACGAAGCTCAGAATTCTTAGGAAACTTTTTAAAAAATAGCACCATTCTTATGAGTGTTTGAACAAAATCCTGCGATAGGCTACGACATGAAGGCATTGTTGTTATTGAAAACCGTCAAAACTCCAAAAACTTCAAAAAATGTCCATTCATTGGTCTGTTTTCTTCCACTACAAACCTACTAGTTTTAGTCAACAAAGTTGAGGGGACTTCTGCCGGCAACGTCACTTCCGCTTTCTTCCTCGGACACTAAGAGGCACTACAGGTCTCTTAAATTTGCCTTGTTTTTTGAAAACAAAGATGTTACACAGGCGCACTTGTAATTATTAACTAGATCTTCGGGATGGACCTTTTGTTTTATAAAAAATGGCATAAAAGGTAAATATCGTGTCATCAGCTCTTTAAAGCAGACAAAGAGTTGTTGTGTGTTTTCATGTGTTCTTTCTTTAGATTAAACAAAAATGAGTTACGTTCTAGGTTTGACATAAAAGATAACACCTCCAGAGGTGTAACCAGGAAGAGAAGTACATTATAAGTTCAATTCATTATTATAGTAGAAAGAGAAGTTGTCAGGGTGTTGCAGAGTCTCTGCTCAGAGCAGGACTGCTGTGTTTTGTTTTGGTTTCAGTCCAAGTTCTTACACTGAGGCCTGCTGGGTGCTGTATGAGCCTGATTGGAGTTAGAAGATTGAGAATAAAGTTTTAATAAGAAATCCAGTTGGATTCCTGTTTATTCGGACATAACATTTTGAACATAGTATATTTTTCTACAAAAGTTTACGTTTTTGGCCTCAATTAATAATCAATAATGTGCTTTAGAGCTAGGGKWGTAAGAAAATATCGATATACTGAAATATCGCGATATTTCATTTCCCGATACTGTATAAATATTCTAAAGCCCTGTATCGATTTTTTTTAAGGTTTAAAATGTCAACTTTCCTGCCAGCCCTTCATTTTTATGTTGTAGTTCAGCCTCTGACCACTAGTTGGCAGCAGTGAGCCAGCCATTTGGCTACACTACCTCTTGAGGTAGAGGCCATTGTTAAGTGTTGGGTGACCATATTGTAAATTAATGTTAAAAACTAAAAGCTGCAAAAAATATATTTTCAAACATTTATTGTCAAATTTAGCCTAATAATTGAAAAATATGGATGAAATAAGAAATATAAAACAAAATAAAACACATACAAAGCAGAACACAGCTAAATGAATCAAAAGTATGTCTCTGTAATATTAGAATTTTCTGAGACAATGAATTTTGGTTTTTCATTTTTCTTCCCCAGTAAGAGGTTTTTATTTAATAGAATTTTTGGACAAAAAAAAAATCACAATATATCGCAATATACTGCCTTGCCTACAGTATCGCAATATATCGGGATATATCGTATCGTGACCCCTCTGTCATGATATGTATCGTATCACCAAATTCTTGCCAACAGCCCTATTTAGAGCAGTGGTTCCCAAACTTTTCAGCTTTTGACCCACAAAATACCAACAGCAGAGACCCGTGCCCCCAGCTGTTACCAGTTGATAAACATTGTTTTCACGTAAAATTAACAAGAGCATAGTAACATTATTTATTACGCTATTTTTGTCTATTTTAAGTACACTAATTTTATTATTTCGCAACAACAAAGGCAAAAAATGTGCTTAGTTGTCATTTTTTGTGTAATTATTTCAGAAAATATTTTCAGGACCCCACCTCGATGTTTCAGGACCCCACTTTGGGTCCTGACCCCAACTTTGGGAACCACTGCTTTAGAGAATCAATAAAGTAGCTGGAAATGAACTACTGTGCTACTTCAATGTATTGATATATTTTTACACCCCTGGTGTTTAATGACATCCTCTTCCATATCTCAGAAGTCAGCTAATCTGTTGTTATCACATATTTAAATGGATTAAATTCAGCAATAAAATCTAAATTTAGACAACTATCTTTAAATCAGCTAGCTGAAYGTGTCTTTCAGCTTAAAGGAAGTAATTAGTTCTTTTTTATCTTGTCTTTTTAAATTTAAGCTGAGTCAACCAATTTGAACAAAAACATCACTGAAATTCTTAAAAAAAAACAACAATAGCATAATTTACACAATTTAGTTTTTTGATGTTTTTTCTCATCTGCAGCGGTATATTTTAAACATTAATTTCAAGGCTAATACAGGGTAACAACCAGATATTAAATGGAAACAATGTGTTCCTCTGTCATCACTGAGCTCCTATCAGCAGCCACAGTATTTCTGACACACCAATCATCTGCTCATTTGTCCTATCTGAACATGTGCTACTGAGGCTTCTTAGATGCAAATGCAGTCAAAGTGGTAGTCTGGTCACAGACGAGTCAGACATGTTATTGCACCATTATGGCTTCTTTATCAAAGAGCTATCAGCAGAGAAGTTAAAACATTTAAGTTTTCTTTTTTCCMAGTTAACTCGTGAGTAAAAACAATCATGTGCAAAACTTCTAACCTCTGACAGACTTCCTGGGCACTCTTCATTGTGTGTCCTGCATTGCTGATGTCATCGTGCTGAAAAGTCATCATGGCCTGCATTTCTAGCATCGTGGCGTAGATGAGAGCRTGGTACATACTCTCATCGACTCTAAATAGGAAACACAGGATTGCAGGTTAATTATTGTCYACTTCACGCTGGATACAAACACAGTTAGCTGCTGTACGATCTACATATTTTCCTGCGGAGACGAGATACGAGTTAAATATCTTTCCTATCTCCTCGTTCATCTCGGYGTGTCTTGTGCAAAGTGTTTGCTTTGCGGGGCTAACTCTCTACAGGCTGTTGAATCMGTCAGACCTTGGGCGTCAGCTTCAGCAAACACTCGATATCCTRGAGACCTGAAGCCGATCAGCAGGGACTCTGTTTCTTAACTCGCACCAGGGAAGTCTCTGAACGTAACAAGCTCTGCTGACATCACGCTGAGAGCAGAACTGAACAGTCGGTCAGCTGCATGTGGCCCGACTCAGGCTGAGTGTGTGTCACCTCGGTCGCAGCCTCTCCAGACTCTCGCTGAAGTGGTTGTTGAGGAAGAGGTCCAAGGCCTCCATGCACTCGTCCAGGCTCTCCTTCAGGGTCATCTCAGAGGAGCTGCCAGGAGTAAGTAAAAGAAGAGAGCTTCTTAAAAAAAACATGCAGAATCTCATGCGTTCACTAGAGCAACTTTATGAAGTGATAATTACAGTTCCTTTTTACTCAAAGTATATACAGTTTGCAATAATCTTCTGGTTATCTAAGGCAAGGGTTCTCAAACCTTTTGGGTCTAGGGACCCCTTATAACAGTGTAAAAAAAATTCCAGGGACCCCCTCATAAAACCCATGCTGTTTTAAAAGATAATTTATTGTCAGTTCAACCCCTAAATGCCATGGAAATATATATTTTTATTTCGTTTGTTTTATTAGTTCATTGTTATTCATGCATTTTAAAAAATAAAAACCAAATCAACAATTTAGTGAAATTTTTTGAGGACCTCAAGACACAGACACAGACCCCTGGGGTTTCCGGGACCCCAGTTTGAGAACCTCTGAATTCCAATAATGGTTTTGTTTCCCACAGAGTTGCTAACATGGTAAACATCATTAGCACAAAAACCTGTCCCTCCTGCCTGGTGTAACAGCTGGACTTTCTGTTTAAGAACAAATAAGAACCAGAACCCAAGAAACAAACAGAGGTAAAGCTTCCTTAACCCTCCTGTTGTCTTCGGGTCAAAATGACCCGCCACTGTGTTAAAACC